AAAAAAAAAAAAAAAAAACAAAGAGTAAAACATCACATCAATTGGGGCTACAATATTTTTAGAGCTATTAGAACTCATTATTTTAGAGCTCTTTATTGAAATGAGCTATTAGAGCTCATTATTTAAGACCTCTAAAATAATGAGCTCTAATAGTTCTAAAAATACTGTAACCCCAATTGATGTGATGTTTTACTCTTTGTTTTTTTTTTTTTTTTAATTTTCAGCACTGCCAGCTCATTAGCTGGCTTAGTGATCCCTTTTTAGTGGTATGTAGCACCACTGATTTTCATATCTTTATTGAAATCTGAAGGAAAAAAAAAAGACTAAAGATATAAAAAAATAAAAAAATCACATATATATATTTTTTCATTTTTAGTAATTTTTAGCGCACATGCACAGGGAAATTAATAATTATGTTTTCATAAATTCAATGTTTTAATAATTTTAATTTATTTTTTAACTTTACATTGATTGCTTCGTTTAGGAACAGACTATTTTAGTAAATTTTTGATTTTTTGCAAAATATATATATACAGAAAAGTAGAAAGAGTAATATGACAACTTATAAAAACTTTTTAGCTAAAACTGAAGGTTGTCATGTGTTAATTTTTTCGTGCATAACATGAGTTATATGCTAATATTCATCTATATATATTAAGTAAAATGAAGTTTTCAACTTGAACGGCAGTAAGATTTCTAAACCCTCAAACTAAATTTTATAATTTTTTGATTTTTAAACAATTAAAAAAAAATCTATTGGTTAACTCAATTAACCATAACAATAAAACTCTAATTATTCCATAAATTACGATTTCTAAAAAGAAAATATGCTCAACTATTTCAAAATTTAAATTTGTAGCCACACTATATATGGAAGCAATTCACTAAAATCAAATTATTTTACATTTTTAAATAATTAAAAAAAATTTATTGATTAACTCTAATTTAACTATAACAATAAAACTCTAATTATTCCATAATTATGACTTCTAAAACAAAAGTATCCCATTTCATATACTCAAGTGATTTGATAATAGATCACACCATGAAAAGGATTTCGTAATCACACTTGACTAGATTTTAAGCCAATTACTTTAGAACGAATAGTTTATTAAGATATCTTGAATTTTATGAACTTGTCATATTATTATGGTGGAATAATGTTTTTCGTTCAAAATAGGTACTATCAAATCTTGTGCCACATATGACACCAAGTTTGGCATTACTTTTATTTAATTATTTTTTTGTTTAAGGATTTAAATATAATGTATCTATCTAGTGTACTCCTACTTAATGAAGAAAGGAAGTAGTGATAATTACAATGAGTAATTGGTTATATATAGATATAAATTAAAAAAACACTTGACTAATACTGAGAGGGTAATTTATAAATAAATTGGGCCGAGTTAAAGTCTTCTTTGAAAGTTAGGCCACACGTCAGACCGTGATAAGAGCTACTGTAGCTCGGTCTAAAAGCTAACGAAGTTGGGCCAGGTGAAGTTCGGACCGAGCTATGGGCCGGGGTGTTTGGGCTTCGCAAGTTGGACCTCGTCCCTGTTAGCTCAGTCAGAGATTGCAGCAGTTAGCACGGTTTGAATAGACAACTGAGGTACAAGAGAATAAGGGCCGAGCTAGGTATTGCATATGAAGGCACCAGATTTAAGTATGACAATGGGCTAGTGTTAGCACGGTTATACTGTTGTTCAACCGTGGTAGTCATCTCACTTGGCTTGCAGTGATGAGACTCCTAGAAGTATTCTGCTAAGGAAAGCAGAGTCCTACTGCTATTGTGTAAACCATCTCACTTGGTTTTTAGTGAATAGGGTGTGTGATTCCTAGGAGGACTCTGAGTTGAGGAATAAGAGTCCTACTAGGATTGTGCCAGGAAGAAACCATAAAAGCTCATGACAGAACCTACGTACAGGTATCACAATTTTGACTCTCGAATACACTAAGCTATTTGTCTTTTTGCTGATTTAGGCATCGGAGAGGTATCCGGCACACACCCGCGGCTAGCTTACGTTTGTGTTTTCAAGGAGTGAGTTCAAGCTTGATCAACAGGATTATACGAGAAGATTATTCTGCGCTTGTACAATTGGCATCGTCTGTAGGAACTTCACAAGGAACAAAACCTCTTGATTAAGTTTACCGCTCCAGTTGGAAGCAATGGCGCACAATGAAGACTTGCCGCAATCAGCAATTGATGGGCAAACACCCGAGAGGGGTGGGAGGCACGAAGGTTTACCTTTCATCCCTTTTATGGCGGATTTAGAGCCCCAGCGACGGAACTCTCGGAGGGACGCGCGGGACAGACGAGGCACTAGTCCCCGTCGCTCTCAAAGTCCCGGAAGACAGAGGTGAAGGTTGGACCCTCAAGTTCTGGAGGATCGTGTTAAGGAACAAGATGAATTAATCAAGAAGATGACGGCAGACATGGAGACAATGAAGCGCCAAAAAAAGGGAAAGGGGTGACGATAGGAGAGGGGCGCAATGGCAACACGCCCCCTCGCCACTCGGAGGATCATGATAGGCATACCACACCATTGCAAGCAGAAAGTAGGAGCCTCAGAACAGGCGACACTCAATCGAGGACTTCGAGGACTCGTTACTCCAGGTCGAAGAGAACGAGAACTGAGAGGTCGTGTACTGAGGGAACACCTATCGGCCCTCACACACGCATCAGATGACATCTAGGCACACGGAGTTGCCTAGATCATTTGACTTGCGAACAGTACTTGAAGAAATGGCCCGATGGAAGGAGGACACTAGGGCTCGCGACCCACGCAGAGTTTCAGCACTATAGCGATTGGCCCCTAGGACACATGGGAGGGTCGAGGTAGGAATGCCAATGCCTCGCCTTGCTTACGAACCAGCGGATAAGGTATTAGCAAGGTTGCAGATCTCGCCGTTCGTTCTGGCAATAGAGAATGCACTACTACCTTCGGGTTTCCACCAGCCCAAATTCACCATTTATAAGGGGAAGACAGACCCCTACATGCACTTAAGCCACTTTCACCAGGTTATGGAAGTGTACCGACGGAATGAGGCCCTGATATGTATCCTGTTCCCATCTAGCCTTGGCGACCTAGGTCTAAGCTAGTTCGAAAGGCTACCAGAAGGCAGCATTGCCTCCTGGGCACAATTGGCAGAGGCGTTCGTGACTAGATTCAGAACGAACACCAAGACACCAGTGGAGATCGATCAGCTACTCTCCATTAACATAGGCGACAAGGAGACGTTGAGATCCTACAATAATCAATATTGGGAGACTTTCAACCAGATAAGAGATTGCCCCACAAATCTCACCATCGCACAATACAAAAGGGGTCTACCAGTCGAAAACAAGTTGTGGGACTCAATTACTATGATACCACCCCTCATGATGGAGGCCCTAATAGAGAGGGTGCACCAACATATCCGCGTGGAGGAAGATAGCACCCGGGCTAAAGCAAAATTTGGCTCAACAGTAATGCCAGACAAAAAGACTACAGCAAAAGTCAACACGGTAGAACAACCAAGCAAGAATGGGAGAGGCAGGCGAGCCAACAGGGAGGACCCAGAAAAAAGGAGGTTGAGAGTTCGCACTGCCATCACTACCGTGTTCAATAAACCTATCTACCAAATTCTCAGCGAGATAAAGAATGAACCCTTCGTTCGGCGGCCAGCCAAGTTGGGAGTAGCACAAAGGGGATATGACGAGAGGTCCCGCTGCACCTTCCATGATGAGAAGGGGCACCTAACTAAAAACTGCACACCCTTGAGGCAACATCTGGAAGAATTAGTAGTAGCTGGTCACCTAGACCAGTATATTGAAGGGGGAACACAGCCAGCCCCTCAGGACGTCAAAGGGCCAAACGGGATACCGGTGGATGGACTGCCCCAAGGCGTAATCAATGTTATTCATGGGATCATTGAACCTGAGCTGGTATGTGAACTCAAGGGGATGATAAAGAAGGTAGAGCATCTGAAGGAGGTACTAAGTGCACAACCCGCCATAAAAAAGGGCAGAATAGAGGCTACGAACGTCATATCCTTCTCAGACAAGGACCTAGCAAGGCTGCATTGCCCTCACAATGACACACTGGTGGTAACTTTGCGCGTCAAGAACTTCGACATCAAGCGAATCCTGATTGACCAAGGAAGTTCGTGCGAGATAATGTATTATGAAACCTTCAAACAGCTGAAACTAGAGGACAAAGACTTGGCCCCTGCAACATCTCCCCTAGTTGGCTTTAACTCAATGCCGGAATGGCCAGTAGGCAAGATAATCCTCCCAGTCAAAGCTGGGACCATGACTAATCAAGTGGAATTCTGGGTATTGAAGGTCCCTTCCACTTACAACATAATCCTGGGAAGAACATGGCTGCACGCCATGCGATTGGTAGCATCAACCTACCATCAAGCACTGCGGTTCCCCAACAAAGCCAGAGTAATTGAAGAGGTCTTGGGAGACCAAATCATGTCAAAATAGTGCTTCATCACAGTAAATGGCACCCGGGCTACAAAAGGATATGTACAGATGGTAGAAGAGCCAGAGAGTAATGAACTATTTGCGGATGTTGGCAAGGCAGCAGAACAGAAGGCAGTGGATTGGTAGAGGTAAGGATAGATGAAAAGAACCCAAAAAAGTTCTTTTTGCTTAGTTCGTCTTTGTCCAGCACTGAGAGAATAGAGATCATAGAATTCTTAACCTCTAACATCGAAGTGGTAACCTCTAACAGAAGGCATGTCCACCATACGACATGCCTGGCATTGACCCAAACTTCATCTGTCACCAACTGAATGCTAGACCAATTATACAGCGTACTCGCAGATCAGCACTCCACCATGCAGAGATAGTGGCAGAGGAAGTGGGAAACTTGCTGGAAGCAGAAGCTATCAGAGAAGTACATTATCCCAGGTGGATATCCAATATTGTAGTAGTGCCAAAGACGAATGGAAAATGGTGTGTTTGCGTAGACTATAAAACAGTCAACAAGGCATGCCCAAAGGATAGCTTTCCCTTACCAATGATAGACCAATTGGTAGACTTAATGGCATGGCACAATCGACTTAGCTTCCTTGATGCGTATAGAGATTACCATCAGATCGCTATGTATGACCCAAACCAGGAGGTCACATCTTTTATAACGCCCAGAGGATTGTATTGTTACAAGGTCATGCCCTTTGGCCTAAAAAATGCAGGGCAACATTCCAACAGATGGTCATCAAAATGTTTGAACCATTGTTAGGCAAAACAATGGAGGCTTACATAGATGACATGGTGGTCAAAAGCAAGGATGAGAAAGACCATCTCAGGGACTTAGACGAAATGTTCCAAATACTAAAGAAGAACAAGTTGCGTCTAAATGCATCTAAGTATGTGTTCAGCGTAGGATCAGGAAAATTCCTAGACTTCTTGGTGACTAACCGAGGTATAGAAGCAGACCCCTCTTAGATCAAAGCAATCCAGGATCTAGAGAAGCCCAACACAGTAAAAGAGGTGTAGCATCTCACTAGCCTAACTGCCGCACTCAACCGGTTCATAAGTCGGTCATCAGACAGATGTCGACCATTCTTCCAAACATTGAAGGCCAAATTTGAGTGGGATGAAGAATGCGATCACGCCCTAGAGAGCTTGAAAGACTACATGACTTCTTCTCCATTACTAGTAACCCCAGTACTTGGAGAAGAACTTTTTTTGTACTTAGCAGTTTCACAGCATGCAGTCAGCGCAGTGTTGGTCAGAGTGAAAGGAATCCAACACCTGCCTATCTTTTATGTTAGCAAGACCTTGCTAGGAGCAGAAACCAGGTACCTACCATTGGAAAAGCTGGCCTTAGCTTTGATGATGGCCTCAAGGAAGCTATCACATTACTTCTACGCCCACACCATAATCGTCTTGACAATTTTTCCTTTAAAAGCTTTGTTTGAGAGGGCAGAATTTTCTGGACGAATCTTGAAATGGGTGGTGGAGTTGGGGCAGTTTGACATCAAGTTTCAACCCAGAACCGCAATAAAGGCCCAAGCCCTGGTAAACTTTGTGGCTGAGTTCACACCAGGAAGCCATCACATCTGCCCAGTTGACTTAACTAATACAACTGAAAAGGGGATGGAAAGTGCCGCAGGAATTGCGCAGCCTCCCAGAGAAGATGCCTAGCCACATCCCAAGACATACCAGATTGAAGAAATGGAGGAAGAGGCAAACTGTGCTATACCCGACAAAGACTCATCAACAAGTAAAAACTTGGTACAGTCAGATAGTGAAGAGCAAACCCCACCAGTAGACATGGACTTGAAGAAAACATCAGCAACACTCATGACCCTAAGGCATCATCCGACCCCTCCACTTGCTGGAAGCTATTCGTTGGAGAGATGTAGAAGCTCTTCGTAGACGGAGCATCCAATAGGTAAGGTGCAGGACTTGGCATAGTCCTCATCTCACCAGATGGCCTGATAGTGAAACAAGTAGTCAACCTTGGCTTCCCGGCATCAAACAATGAGGCAAAGTACGAAGCACTTCTAGCAGGCCTAAAATCAGCACTCTTCATGAAGGCCACCAAGCTATTGGCTTACAATGACTCCTAGCTGGTAGTAAATCAGATTTCAGGCGACTACGAGGCAAAATATGAGAGGATGGCTAAGTACCAAGAGTTATTCAGAAGGGAGATCATGAAGTTTGAAGTAGTGCGAATAGAGCAGATCGGCTGAGACGAAAACAACAGAGCAGACGAACTGGTAGGTTTTGCCTCCATGGCAGACATATCTATCCCACATCCATTACTAATCGACTTCTTACCCAGACCAAGTATTGAAGAAACCGAAGTAACAGAGGTATGTTGTGCTGAACTAGGCCCTTCATGGATGGATCCCATTATTGTATTCTTAAAAGACGACATCTTACCTGAAGAGAAGAAAGAGGCCAACAAGATCAGAGCAAAGTCGCAGCGATTTTGGCTCTCTCCATCATTGACGTTGTACAAAAAATCTTTCATAGGACCTTACTTGAAATGTGTCTATCCTAGCAAGGTCGAGGCATTCTTGTTCGAGATACACAAAGGCATATGTGGAAGCCACCAGGGTGGAAGATCATTGGCCTACAGAGCAATTTCACAAGGATATTGGTGGCCTTACATGCAAGCAGATTCAGAGAAGTATCTCAAGAAGTGCGAGAAATGTCAGAAGTTCGCATACCAAATATATCAACCATCCAGAGAGCTTCTACCATTAACTAGCCCATGGCCCTTTGCGATATGGGCTTGAACATAGTAAGACCACTTCCAACAGCACCCGACAACAGAAAGTTCTTTCTCCCAGCAACGGATTACTTCACGAAGTGGGTAGAGCCTGAAGCACTCGCATCAATAAAGGAGAAAGATGTTAAGAAGTTCGTCTGGCAGAATATCATAACTCGATTCAGCATACCAAAGGCTCTGATATCGGATAATGGCACTCAGTTCGACGGTAAGATCTTTAGAGGCTTCTGCAAGGAATACAAGATAGAATTCTACAACTCTGCACCAGCATACCCTCAAGCAAATGGCCAGGCAGAAGCATCAAACAAAGTTGTCTTGGATGGCTTGAAGAAAAGGTTGGAAAGAGCAAATGGCAAGTGGGCTGAGGAGCTTCCTCGTGTTCTATGGGCTTACCGCACCACATCTCGACAGTCAACTGCTGAAACGCCTTTTTCTTTAGCCTATGGCATGGACACAGTAATCCCACTAGAAGTAGGCCTCCCCACCATTAGAAGTGAAAATTTTGACCGAGACTTGAATGGAGAAGCCATAACCTTGGAACTTGACCTAGCAGAAGAGAGAAGAGAAAGAGCATTGGTTCACATTGCCTCATACCAGTAAGAGTTATCCAGAAAATATAACAAGACGGTACATCTGAGGCAATTCAAGATTGGAGATTGGGTACTGCGCAAAGTAATGGGAAGCACTTTGGTACCCGGAGATGGCAAGTTATGGCCTAATTGGGAAGGACCATACAAAGTGGTTGGTTTAGCAGGAAAAGGGGCATATCACTTGGAAAATGGAGACGACAAGGCTGTACTCAGGCCATGGAACACTGCCAATCTCAAATTATTTTATTTTTAGCTTTCCTTTAAATACTTGTAATTTTTCTTTCTCTAATAAAACAATTAGTTTCTCTTTCAGCATAAATCTTCCCACTGTAAAACAAGTAGTTTCTCTTTCCATTATAAAGTTGTTCTTAAATTGTATTAGCTAGGGGCAACAGAAGAAGGTTGGCAAGAATAACCAACTTTGAGTACTCTTCAGCCAGGACAAGGATCTAGGCTGAAGAGAGGTTGGCAGGAATAACCAACTTTGAGTACTCTTCAGCCAGGATAAGGATCTAGGCAGAAGGGAGGTTAGCAGGAAAAATCAACTTTGAGTACTCTTTAGCCGAGATGATGATCTAGGCTGAAGAGTGGTTAGTAGGAATAACCAACTTTGAGTACTCTTCAGCTGAGATGAGGATCTAGGCTGAAGAGTGGTTGGCAGGAATAACCAACTTTGATTACTCTTTAGCCGAGATAAGGATCTAGGCTGAAGGGGTTGGCTTGAAAAACTAACTTTGAGTACTCTTCGGCCAGGATAAGGATCTAGGCTGAAGAGAGGTTGGCAGGAATAACCAACTTTGAGTACTCTTCAGCCAGGATAAGGATCTAGGCTGAAGAGAGACTGGCAAGAAAAACCAACTTTGAGTACTCTTCAGCCGAGATGAGGATCTAGGCTGAAGAGTGGTTAGCAGGAATAACCAACTTTGAGTACTCTTCTGCTGAGACGAGGATCTAGGTTGAAGAGTGGTTGGTAGGAATAACCAACTTTGAGTACTCTTTAGCCAAGATAAGGGTCTAGGCTGAAGAGGTTGGCTAGAAAAACCAACTTCGAGTTCTCCTTAGCCGGGATAAGGATCTAGGCTAAAGAGAGGTTGGCTGGAATAACCAACTTTGAGTTCTCTCCAGCCAAGATAAGGATCTAGGCTGAAGAGACTTGGCAGGTTTAACTAAAACAGATTACAAAACTCTTGAGCCAAGATGGATATCTCGGCCACAAAAAAGAAGACAAATTACAAAGAAGAGCATAACCGAACGAAGAGTTCAAGAAAAAAACGCACTTCATTCCATTCCAAATTTCATAGTACAGAAGAGGGGCCTTAGCCCGATTACAAATTCTTGGTAGTAAAAGAAAAAATCAGGCAAACAGATCGTCCAAGTCTGTATAAAGGTCAACCCGAGCTTCACCACTCGGCATCTCGGTCCCAGCAGGAAGGTCGGTCGTAGGCACGTTTTTAACCGTGTTTGGCACCAGTGGCTCCACCCGAGTTGATTGAGCAGTCTGGTGACCTTGACCTCTGGCAGGAGGTGGGGCGTTGTTTGACTCTGGGGACTCGTCCTCCTCACCCTCTTGTAGAAACTTCTGTTGGATGATGTGGGCATATTCTGCCATATAGCTCGGGATGAAGTGAGGAGGAGGGTTCTGGAATACCTCGGTTTCTTCCCCTTGGCCGAGCTTTAGGGCGGCTGCCTTCCACCCACACTTGAAGAAAATATCTTTGGTAGCTTCGCATTGCAAAACGTACGTGGCTTCACCTTCCTTATAACCGCGGTCATTCGCGTCTTCCATCTTCTATATCAGCTCGGCTATCTCGGCGTCTTTTTTCTTCTCGAGCTTAGCTAGCTCATGCAGATAGCGGTCCTTCCGCTCGGCCAAGGCCTTTTGCTTGTCCGCCTCCATCGAGTTGACCAGCTCGGTGAGTCGAGTGACTTCAAATTCGAGCCCGGTCATTTTTTCCTTCACTTCTTGTAGCTCGGCTATCTTGGCGTTGGCATTTGCCACGACTAGCCATGCTGTCTTGCAAAGCTCTAAAACTCGCTTGTAAGCGATGTGGTTTTTTTGCATGGCCTACAAAAGAGGTGGCAGTTATGGACAGAAGCCGAGCAAACAGTTGTTGATTAATGGATGATAGTTAGGGGAACAC